ACGGAGACGAGCCGCTACTAATTTGAGGTGGAAAGCGTGTACAGTCGACCCCCCCTTTAACACGGGTTCCTATAGTTCGGATTCCTATATGACGGCGAAAAAATTGCGACGGTATCCGTACAAACATAGTAAAACAACTCCTATAATTCGGTAGAACGTCATCGGGCAGCCGAACTACTTTCCGCCGTCCAGTGCCACGCTACGGAGAGTTTAGCCCTTTATTGCCTGACGGGACTTTCTAGTCCCACTATCTTTCATATTTTTTATTTCATAGTGTATGCATTATAGCTTTCTGGGGCTTGCATTTTATCATTGTATAAAGTGTTCTTTTTCTCTTCTATAGGGTAGTAACTTTCAAACTGTTCCTGTTTTAGTTTTGTTGAAAAAAGTTTCACATCGTGTGTTGTTTGAATGGTAGTAGCTGATATTGCTTTCTTTGTTGCCAAATTCTACTTATTGTTTTCAAGTTAAATGTCTTTGTATTTTTTAATATGTATTCTAGATATGTGTAGTTTGATTTTAATGTATTATGTTTGTAGAATTAATGGTTTGCAAGCTGTATGAGATCAAAATATGTTTGGGACTTACGAGTCCCATCAGGCCTGAGGGAATCTTTTTTGTAAATGTTAGAAATTTGTATTTTCTACATTGTGCTTTATAAATTTATGAATTTGTTTAACANGTACTGTACATATAATTATATATTAATTATATATAAATTAGGTACTGTATATATAATTATATATTAACTTAATTTATTGTAACTTTATTATAATTATATATATACTTTCCGCTGTCCAGCGCCACGCTACGGAGAGTTTAGGCGAGTAAGTCGAGTTTACTATCGTCTGTATAGTATGTAAATTAGGTACCGTAAGTCTAATACAGCACTAATTTTATACATTTCTTGCGAAAGAAACATTTCTTATTCAACGGCCATAAAAATTATTTATATTAATGATGTCTCTAAAGTTCAACGAAGTTTCTCAGAAAAATAACTTATCAGAAATCGCGGCCGCCGTTCGGTGCGCCGATCCGCGACGAAAACAAGCTTGAGCAATGGCGACGTCGAACGGTGCACACTCGGTAAGTAATCCTACAATTTTTTGTTTATAGCGTAGTTTATCCGGATTATTCCCAAAAAAAATATACGTATTTTGGAAATGTTGAGTCGGATTAGTCTAGAATCGATTAATTTTATGGAAGAAAACCTTTCAAACAGCCGTAGTCCGTAAAGTGCATACGTGCCGGTCTGTGATTGGCAAGGTCTCCTAAAACAACAGTTTCATAAAAAACGGAACGTATCTACCGCGTTATAGGGGGGTCGACTGTATTTTAAATTAATTAAAAATTGTAACCGATGTCGTAATAAATAATAGCCGGTGTCATCTCTTTTTTTTAACATATTTTTGTCCGTTCCAACCGGCGTGTAAAAGCGTGCGAAGGAAATGAAGTTTAAACCCTTAACCGAGAGACGGCGCGAGTCGCTTACCTTACTTTTTTTTTTTTTTTTTTTTAATTTTGAAAGTAAGTAACGAGACATTTCTTTGCTTAATTCTTTATTTAAACGTTTATAAACGAGTGAAAATATTCCGTAGCGATAAGTTAAATGCGTTTGTAAACATTCTTCATTTTATGGAATAATTTATGGCTTTCATCCCTTAATTTTGTTTTACACTTAGTTTAGATCAGTGTTTCTCAACCTCTAACGAATCGTCGCCCCCTTCAATAAAACCGTTACGTAGTATCGCCTCCTTCATTTCAAAATTCCGATGCCGAGGGCCAGGGCTAACGCCAAATTCGTACCGCATCGAATAGACTAGTGACTAGTATAATGTTATTTGTTTAATTATTGTACGATATAACGAATAAAATAACTAATTAATCTTAATATAATGTTTTACTATATCGCCCAGAAAATTGTTTTTCGCCCTCCAAAATATAAATTGTTACAAATAGCCCCCTCAACATGGAAAACGCCCACACGGGGGCGATATCGCCCTCGTTGAGAAACACTGGTCTAGATGAAATAGACGCGCTTAGGGGCGGGCTTATAGCGCCAGCCAACGAGATTAAATTACAAAATGCTGGACGGTTATTTAACGCCTTATTAAAAACTCTAGAGTAAAGCGTAAAGTTCGTATCGTTCCGGACGACCGTTTTAAATTACAAAACGCCAAACTGCGCCATCGGTGTTCCCTACTCGAATATATTTGAATAAATTATTAATTACAGACGTTTCGTTCGTCTTACGCTTCATATACGAGCGTAATTATAGGTTTAAAAATCGTTAAAGATACATTTTAGCGAATAATAAATACAGTAGAACCTCGATTATCCGGACTAATTGGGGATGAAGGTAGTCCGGATAAGGAAAAATCCGGATAATAGAAACAAATACTTTAATTTGTCTTTTAATGATAATACAACACGTTTTCTTTTCGATGACATATCGGTAATATTAAAAGTAAATACTGTATTTAAATCGTGATCAAATTTTCAAGAAACAAACGTTCGTATTGAATTTGAACTACTACTGACCAACGCTAACAGAGTACCTATTGTTTAAAAGGCCCTCTGGTAGCGCGAGAAGACGGATTTTATAAAATAAAAAGCAGTCGAAACTGCATTTTTATGAATAAAAATTTGACAAACTATTTATCGTTTTACGACGAGTAAAATGTTTTCGTCGCGTTCATGGCTTTTAAGTAATGCATAAACCTTCGAGGCGCGAGGCCCTTCGCACCGCCAGGCATAGGCGGTGGTCCACGTCGTCCATGCCTTACGCCGCCCTCGGTCATAGAAATGATGTAATTTGAATATAAATTATTTATAAATACGTATGTCAAGTTATATTTTTATTACTACGTAAAATATATTTAAGAGTTTACGATCACTGTGCCGGGTGAGACGTTGTTGAAACAAAGTTACGCATTCCATCACGTACATAAACAGTGTGGTAATTCTCCAAGTGCAAATCAGCAAATTCGTAAAATTTTTATTTTGAACAATCCGGATAATCGAAAATCCGGATAATGGAGGTTCTACTGTATAATTAATATTTTCTGCCATTTTGATACGGGATTTACTCGTCAGATGGCGACACTTATCGCGCGTTGGTTTTACGTAGAAAGTACTGTACAGACTTTTAGCCGGAATGGGCGTCGTTGGTTGCGGGTAGCGGACGGAGATAGGGCAAGTAGTTAACACCCGGACTATAGATAGAAAGCTGTGGTTTACCAGGCGATACGTGGATTTAAATTACAACAAATATGGAAAAAAATTACCCGGAATGCTTCCCGCACCGGTGGCGCCGAGTATTCCGGGGTTCTGGCCCGGTGGTATCCGCCAGGCGCGGCCTTTCGTATTCCGTCGAAATATTAATTACTTTTAATTGGCGACGGCATTCCCGGGCCGCGGACCGATCCTCGGCTTTTTAATAACGACGACGTTTATTATTATTTTGTCTTAAAAACGGATGGACCCGGCTTCCGCCGGCGCCAAGCGTTATTTGCCCATGGAAGTCCATAAACCGTTACTCGTTGGTTAAACGAGTTTTATTTCCACTTTATTTTGTCGTCGACGGTTTGAGAAAATCGTCTAAACATAACTTACGTTAACTGTAAGTACGGCGTTTAATCGTCTTTAACCTCGAAAGTATTTTCCGATATCGGTCGATAATTTATCCGTAAAGTACTTTTAATAAAAACGATTGTAATATGTACGGTACGTACGGAATTGGTTCGTACGTCAATTATATTTTTTTAAACGCCCGCATTTGTCGTTCGAACACGTGTTCCGAGTCGTAAAGACGTTTAAGAAATTGGCCGGCTGCCAAACTTCCCATAAATTCGCAAAAAAAACCAAACGTTCGAACGACTAAAAATGGACGTGGAAAAGGATAAAAGTAGCCCTTTTATTAATTGGAAATTAAATATTTAAATATTAAATTAAAAAGTAAAGGTTTCCGTTTACGAAACTGGGGATTTTAAAGGAATATTTTCCTTCTTCCAATCTATTATGCAAGTGGCATTGATTAATGATTTTGTTTTTCCAACGAATTAAAAGCCCAATTTCCTCCTAACAAGCTTTTATTTCTTTACTTCGTCTAACATTAAACGAATTAATTGTCTAGCGATTTGTCCTTCCTATTTTACCATCGATGGTTAAAACGGAAATTTCCGCCTAAAAATCCGAAATTAAAAACCAAACTTTATATAATTCCTAGTTTATAAAACGTCTTGCCCGTCCGTTTGCGTTTTATCGCGTCGTTTATAAGTTCGTCCGTCTGTCCGACGGCCGTTCGTCTATCGTTTTAACCTCTTCAATTTTAAAATTATTTTATCTTTATCGTTAAGTTTCTTATTTTATTTTTCCTATTTCTTCGCTGGTTCGTCGGACCGCGCTTTTCTCTTTTAAATAATAAGTCTGTAGGTCGTTAAGCGGCCGCGCGTTGTCTTTGTCTTTTTCCCTGGCAACTTTTCTTTTTTTAAAAGTAAACGATATATAAATTAAACGGCTTATTCGTTACGTCGCGTTATTTCCACCTTTTTTTAACCCTATAAAACGTGTTGTAATTTTTATTTCCCAGCGGAAACACCTGGCAGCCAATTGCCTGTCACCGTATTTTCGCCATTTGTAGCTTGGTAAAAATCAATTTACGTAACCACCCGGATTCTTTTCCGTTCGTTAGACCTAAATGGTAAAAATTAAAAAACTCTTTATTTATTCGAAATGGAAATAATTTCGCTACTTTAGTACCGTTTCTTCCGTCCTTCGGGGGCCATTGGCTATAACCACCTAGCCCGGTAGTCGGCCAACCGCCGAAAATTATACGCCCCTTCCTCCTTACAACGTAGAGTAAATGGAGACTTTAAGTAAACTTTTACGCCCCTCTCTCCCCGACCAAATCGCCCGTCCTTCCATCTCTTATCGTCCGTCTAGGCGAAAAGTCAAAAGGCGGTAGGCCCGCGCCATTTACCGTCACGACGGTAAGTTTTTTTAAATAAAAACGATTTAATATATTATTTTATTATTTTTAAAATGAAAAATTTATTTGCGTAAGAGAACCAGTGAACGAGGTATCTAAATCTATGCGAATAACACGAAAACGTAGCAAAAATATGTTACTTCGTAGACGGATCTACTACGAATCCTCCGCATTCTTTTTCGTGTTGACTACAAGAATGTGTCTGGAAAAGAAGAAAAATAATATAGAATCCAAGTAAAATCCGACAATATTAAAAACGTTTATCTTACTATTTACCGTACGCCCGTGTATCGATCCGTATAGCGCGTTTACCGCCGACGACTTACCAATGGTGCATTTTTTACCGGTATATTTATATTTTATTTCCACGTTTATTGCCTCCGGAAAAATTAATTTCCGAAGAACTTTCGAGGTCGAACGTACGAAAATATATAGGAAAATTAAGTTTAGTCACCTGGCAAAGTGGATGGCAATACCAAGGATTGCGGTAACTGGGATTTAGAAAGGCGGATTTGGCTAAATCGCACTTGACGCAGTTACCGAAACGAAGAAAATTGTCGTCGATCTGGAAGCGAGAAGAAAAGAAAATCAAGAGGACAATTAGGTGGAAGGCCGATTAAGAAAGAACTAAAACTTTAATACCTGATTGAGAGGAACTTGCGGATGGTCTGGTAGAGTGGCGTAGGAATCGCGCCCTTCCGCCACGGAATCGTTGGACGGAAACAAAACAGAAGTTAAAGGCCGGTGTTGGGCGCTGGGATGGATGAGTTTGGGGACGTCGACGGCGCGATTCTGGGCTCTGGAAACGTCTTGGGACGCGCCGTTGGCGAAGATCTTCCTGAGGATACTCTCTTTGTAATTCCTGAAACACAGAATGGCGATGCGCTCTTTCTCCTTTTCTTCGGCTAACAGATCTAAATAAAGGATGTCTTTTTTCAACTTGTGTATTTTTTTCAAAATGGCCGTCGGATCGTTTAACCATCGGTCGTTCCCGTTCGTTTGGCTCGGCGTCTTTTCCGAAATCTCGTCTTCCCCGTCGGTCTGTTGAGCCGTAGACTTTTTCGACGTCTTCTTCTGGTAGTTTTCCGCCGACGCCCGCCTTTGCCGGCTGTTTTCGCGCCATTCTTTATCCCCGTCCTCCTTGGAATTCTCTCGATGATGAAGAAGCGTCCTGAGTATGGATCCCGAAATGGATATGTCGGATTGGACGGATTTGCTGATGGTAACCGGTTTCTCCGCTTCTGTAATAAAGTATTTTACCGTTTATATAAATATTCGTATACGGGCGGCCTTATCCCAATACTGGTTAAAGCGAAAAATTGGCCGACGCGGCTAACCGACTTTCCGGTGGCCGCGTAATTAAATTAACATCCAGCGCGGCATTTTTATTCAAATTTCGTCCCGTCTCGTACGTAAGGAGCCGCGCATTTTCAATGCCATTTTCGTTCCGGTGGCTTTAATTAGTTTACTTTAAACCCAATTGGCGCTCGGATATTTTCCTTTTATGGAGACGATAATATTTTTAAGAGGTGACCGAAAATAGAAAATCCGCCGATCGATCCGACCGTCGTTTATACTCGAATTTCCAAGAGTAAACAACGGTTTCTATCGATCCTAGCGAAAAATCCCGAAAACGTCCTTGAAAACCTCTTCGTATCTCGACCCGAAACGACGTTTTACGTTATTATTATTATTAGAAGAAGAGGAAAATATTGTACAATAATTACCTCGATTGTCCTTCTTACATAAGTTTAGCGGCTTTAAAGACAAATTCTTATTGGCGGAATTCGAATCGATTCTGATCTTCTTTCGTTTAGGAGCTCGAATATTCTCTTCGCTTCTGAAAACAAAAACCAACTGTCATTAAAGTTTGCCTACGATACAATAATTTAATTAATCGTCCTCGGCGCCGTTCCCTTACCGGGGGTTTCTAAACCGTAAATAAACGTCGGGCCAGGCGCGATGGTTACCGAGATTAGTCGAGCGTCGGAGCGCGGCCATTCCCCATATCCACGCATTTTTTCGCAAATGTATTGGAAATTTACCGTTTAACGCCGCGGTATACGATATCTAGCGTAATATATAGAGTGTAGTGTGGAAAAAGATGGATAGAGACGGGCCAATGCTCCAACGACGCCAATACTACCAATACCTCTAGGTTTAGACGGCGCCCGTTCCAGCCTAGCCGCCAGATAAATAGGATCAATTATCCCCAAAACGTCCCCGATTGAGGAATTTTATGGAAAAATTCCCCGCGGTAATATCGACGTTACGGATAGAATTTGAATATTTTCGATACCGACAACGTTTGGCCGAATTTCCAGGCCACCATTCGTTCTATTTCGTTCTTGGAAAATACGTAAGAGACGTAACGTTTATAAATGAGTGGCGGGGAAGAGAGACGGGGGTAAAAGTGTATTTTCCGTCGACGTGGTTTTAAAATCCTGGCATTCTTTTCTTTTCGCCCATAATAAACCAAACCATCTTCTATTTAGAGGCTTTAAATACGCCGCCAGAATATCAAAATCCTTAACTTTCGTACGTCGTTTCGCGTATTGGCGTTACGTAAGCGCTATTATTTATAAATTAGTCCTTAATTTTAAAAACTGGCGATAATGGCTAATATAAAAACAAAATTGCCCCCTTCTCGCCCGGTTGGCTGGAAAATTCTTTTTCTTTCTCGTTAATATACTAGCGGATCGGCCCGACAAAAAAGTAACCAGGGCGAAAATTACGATTATTACATTATAGCCCATCTTACCCGTTTTTACCGGGTGCGAGAATTAGACTCAAAGTAATTAGAAAACCGCATTTAAAATAGTAAGAAAAATGCCAATTTCGGAAAGTCCGTTGTCGGCCCTGGCCCTAACCCCCTACTAAATTTCAATTTTCGACTCCGCGCTTATTATTATTATCGTTATCCACCCCTCCGGATTATATTACGAGATCGGTATAGAGAAGTAAATAAAAGCAGTTAAATAGCGATATTCGCTCGTCTGTACTTATAGTTGGAAATTTATTGCGCGACAATATAAAACGTTTTTATATTTCGGAGGGTAAGAATCGATCCTTACGCGCCACCCATAAAACCAAGTGCCGTAGATGCGGGTTGGCAGCCGAGTGGGGTTTTTCGGGTTTTCTTCTCCGGTCTAACGTCCAAACGGCGGCGGGTTTCCCGGAGAAGAAACCGCGTCTTAGCATAAATGTCTGGCTAATAACCGATAACGAATTTATTTTCGTAGGCGACGGACGAACGACGCCGTTTCGAAAGTCGCCTACGTCTTATAGTTAATGGCTCTATTGTTACGCGGTTTCTTCCGTTATAAAACGCGTGTCCGTCGTTCCGTTAAGTTTATTCGCCTAACGAAATTTTAACCCGGCGCCATTTACGCGCTTTCAAACGGCAAGAAAATTAATTTGTTGGCCGTTCTCGTTCTACCAACGAATTTCCCCACCTTTATTACCCCCTAGCGGAACCAATGCGGATTATTTACCGTAAATAATCCGCATTGTCAAATCTATATATATAAATATTTATATATATACATATACGTTTTTTATTAGCAATTAGTCCTAACGGTTAACTGACTTTTCGGCCGACCCGTAGTACCATACATCGCGCGCGTTTCTTTAAAGTCGATCGTTCGTACGTGTCTAAAAATTGGATAAATCGCCTGGCAACAATAACAAAACAGTTTATTATTTTGTCCGCGCACCGGCGGTAAAAAACTGGTGTCTTTTCCAATCGATTGGTAATAGGGGTGGAGGGGTACGACGTCCGCTTCTTTCTCCGGATACGACGTCGTTGGCGGCCTTTACGCCTTTTCTAAAAGGAATGTCGCTCGACTAACGTTTAGTTTATCGGGTGACTCGTACTATAAACTACCCCGCCCCGTTTCGGTTTTATTTACCAACGTCGAAGCGCGTGACGATAATACGGGTTTCGTTTTCCGTGACAAACGGAAATGTCCAACGATAAGCGCCTCGCGCGCGCTTTTATTCTTATTTTAATGACGTTTCCGTAATGTAAAGGATCGTCTCGTTTACGTAAGCTCGTATACCGTCGCTAAACGTGGTGGAAATTTCGCTCTTCCCGCGTTAATTAACATCGAATGGCTTATTCTACGGTTCCTTTAAGCCATTATGTAGATTTTACGCCACTGCTACCGACAATTACTTACTTGGAGAGTCTTCCAAAGTCTTCTAGGATCTTCCTTATTTTCAAATTGTCGATTTTTTCCAGACCCGAGGCACCGACGTTCGACCAACAGCTTTTCGTAACTTGGTCCGTTCGACTTTTGGCGGTTTTTACTCGGTCTCTTTTGTCGGCAGTTTTCTTCCTTCCGACTTTGGGTCTGCGGTTGGCGGGTTCGACCATCGTTTCCGCTTCTAAACTCGGAAGTGTTCTAAAGGTGAAGAGACTTTCGACGTCTCGATAATCGCGCCATTCGTAACCGTTTTCTCGACAGAAATCTCTGACCAGTCCAATCTCTTTCGGTCCGGGCGATGAGAAGTCGATGGATTCCGTCGGAACGGGTTCCGCCGCCACCGTATCTATCAAATTGTCCACCACGTCGGCCACCACTCGGTCCTCCTCCGCTTCCGCCTGTGCGGCCAAATGGCATTTTCTCTTTCGAAAATCTTCGCACCTAACTTCTGTTACGATACAGTTATTGACGGTGGAGTAAACGGATATGGGTAGAGACGGGTCGTTAAGTTTGCCACCGTTCTTCTCTACGCCGGCGTCGATGACGACGAAATCCCAGTTGGAAGATTCCCTCCGAGCCAATACGTAATGGCCCATCGAAAACACTTTAACGGTCTTCCTTCTGGCGATGTCCCCATCCAGTGGAACTAAAACCACGCTACAGTCCTTCGGTCGGTGTTTGTCGTCCGTGCGGCGAATGGCCTCCATCGAGTCGGTATTATCCGATCCGCTCGAGGCGTCGCTTTGTAAACACATGGCGGTACATCACCCCACCCGCTTCTCCATCCCTCTTCCGACGTTTTATACGCCTCTCCGCACCTTCCAAGTTATAGAAAAAGCTCCGTCGCTACATACAATTAAAGGCATTATCTGCAAATACAAAAGGAATTGCAAAGTTTAAGCTACTTTTCCAGAAAATTACGTCTAAATTCCGTGTGTTTTGTTTAACGCGGAGCTTAAAATCTGACGTGTCCGCTACGGAAATGTGTACGTCACGCGTATTTTTATGAGTTTTTTTAATACGTAGTACGCTTCTAGCGCTTTCGGAACGGTTAGAAACTCGCCGCGTTATTATTAAGTATTAAAAACGATTTAAAGAAGCCAGTTTGGCGCGAAACGATCGATATTTAAATACATACCGCAGAAATTCTGTCAAACACGCCTTACTCTACGTTACGTAAATATCGATCTAAGGCAAAAATCCGAGTTTTATGGGCGACACCCCGACCATAGAAGCGCGTAGACACCGAAAAAGTCTAACTAGACACTCGAGAGCCGTCCGGTTTGGGCTGGGTGTACCCCGACGGAAAGTAGGAAGAGAGAATCGCTCACCCGTTCGTAATTCCCACATCGCATCGCCGCCACGACTAGTGTGGAAACCGACGTGGTGTGACGACACCGTGACGTCGGCGGCCACCTAATGCCATCTCTCGACGATACGTAAAATAATATATTATTGCGAAAGAATAGAAAAATTTCTCGACCGAGGTTTAGAAGATCGTAATAAATTGTAAATATCGTAAAATGAAAGGAGTGAAATTCTGTTTAAAGACGTAACGCGGAGTACTTGGGTGCGGATTTTATAATATGTAATTCTTGTTTTCTTTACGACGCGATCGATTGTTCTACTACGGTTGTAAAGAATTGATACTTTTGATCCGTTTTATCGATCGTTCTTTCCGGTGTTTACAAGAAAATACGACATAAATCGAAATTCGCGTGCTCTAATTCTACGAATGACTCCTTTTACTCGGTTTACAATTCGATTAACGTGGAAATTTTAAAGTTTATTAATTGTTCGATGGCAAAATTTATCGATTATCGATCGATCTTTGACGCGTATCGATCGATCCCATATATTTATATTATTTAAACACCATCGATTTTTTCAGTTACGCGTTAAAAAATGCTTAAAAGTGGGTTTTTCGACGAAATTACGGCGGAATTTAATTGTTAAATGTCGCGCTTTCGTGTTTTGTGGACGTTTAAATTAATAAATTAAGATTAACGATTGACAAATATCTTTATTTATCGTCATATTTACACGCTAAAAATAGATTTGTTAAGATATTATTTTAAATTCCACGAGGATTGCGAAGATAAGGAAGATTAGATAAAGTAGAATCAGGTAGAACCCGTACCAGCGGTTAGCTTGGTAATTAAACCACGTCATGATAATTAATGTGGAAACCAAGCTGATGGCCAAACTCGCGTACAGTAAAATGGTCAGAGAATTGTATTCCAGCTGCAAATTACAAAAAGTACGATATTACGGCGATTGCCTTCAATTCGAATTAACAAATAACGAGGCGCTTACGTGTATTTCGCTTTTGCACCTGATTAGATTAACCGTAGACGATATTCCCAGGCCTAATAGTAAAGCTGTTTATATAGTTAAAGTTTTAATTACATTAATAATGATTTTTTTATACTTAAGACGTCTTTCATTCCCGGCCACGTAACATAATCTGTCGGTTTCCGACGTTAATAAATCAATTAACGTATCGTCCGCCCTCGAGATCCGCCAGTGACGGATGGATCTCGAGGCTATCGAATCGCGCCCCACCGACAGACTGGTCACGCGGAATATGCCGGGTTTCCTTCGCCTTTCTAACGCCTAAATAGGGGCTAATTTTCCCGTAGAAAGTCCTCCCGGGAGGGACTCTTCCCTCGGCACAATTCCCACGTCTCGTTTTCTCTTATTCCATTAATGCAAATTCCATCTACCCTCGGGGGGTTGGTGATTTAAAAATTGAAAAATAAATCGTAATTTATAGAAAAATTGGATTATCTGGAAAAATTCCGGCGTAGTTTTTGTAGGAAAATGAATTTTGTGACGAATCGGGCAAAGGATACTGGATAGAGGGGATCCGAAACAAGCGGAGAATCCCATTTTCGAAAGATCTTTGCTGGCTGCGGACACGTTTGTGACGAAATCTGAAATTTTGTTAATCATTATTAATTTAAAACATTAAGAAAAGCGCGCTTTTCGATAGGGGATTTCGTTACCTCCGATGCTGTTTCCCCACGCCATGAAGGTCAAACCTAGAACGATATCGCTGATATGGAAGACTATGCCAATGGCTTTCAGTAAGACGGTCACCTCTTCCGCGATCATATAGATCCAAAATAACGACACGAAGAAGCCTAAATATCCAAAAATCCAATGATATTTTGGAGGGGAATGGTGGTCCGACGTAACGAAGACAATAGATGCCACCACCGCGGATATAACAAGCACCAGAGCCCAAACTGGAAAGACTCCGTTGACGCGAACGTGGGCCACTGCCAGAACAAAAAGTTGGAATTATTTATTGATATTTCTTTATATCGTCGATAGAAAGATTTTCTGGGTTACCTCGCGCGGAGAACGCTATAAAAATCGGGCCGGTGATACAGTGAATAGTATTGAGGATCTTGCACCAATTATCGTTTTCTTTCTTATAATCCACTACGGGAATAACGAAGACGAAGCACAGAACGGCGGGAATCTGCGCCAAATAATTCGTTTATTTAATATCTTATTAAAATTATAAGGACTCGAGAGTAATTTTAAACGTTTCAACGGGTAGGGTCGACTCTTCCTCCCTGGTGCGTTACGCAAAGACGCGTTCTATATCTTAAATAATGTAAAATATACCTTTATCACTTGGAAGATTTTTTGGGGATAACTTAATCGAGACCAAGTATCTAGATTCAACGGACAAACTTGGCGCAATAAGTGTTTCCCTCGGTCAAATTCTGTATATAAATTGGCCAATACGATTATTTATTCGCTTCATTTTTTATTATTAACTGTATTTTTAGAATATCGTATAAATTATTTACCAGTTTTTGTTATACTCTTCGCATCTGGCATCAATTTCTCGGAGGGCTGAGATAAGTCGAAAGGTCGAAAGTTCTCTCCTGATCATAAATTTAATTAAAACTGTTATTCTGAGAATTTTAATTCGATTTTGTCTTACCTCCCGATCCTTCGTCTCCTTCGTAGTCCGATAGCTCGAAAGACTCGTCTTCGTCACCTTTCGTTTTAATAAGTTACGTTAAATTAAATCGATACTCGAATTCGCGGGGTGGTCCAAAAGTCAGTCCACCGCCATTCGGTGGCCTTCGACCAAATGACAAATGCGGTCGTTGCCGATGGTTTTTATTCTCGGTTAACTGACTTTTAGGCCACCCTATACTTTACCTTTAACGGAATTAATAGATCCGTACGAAGGAATTTCTTTTTTCTTTCGATACTTCTGATGTACGATTCTTCCCACGATTACTATTACTATATAGAGGCAGTAAAAGGCAATAAAACCTGCCAAACGAGGCGCATTTATTTCTCTTTTTAATTAAAAGTCATTATTAACTTATAAACTGACTTACCCGCCGCGTGGCCGAGCGTTAATATTTTACGACAGAAGACGAAAAATACCCAATAAGAGGCGGCGATGTAGAAGATAACATCGCGAAGAAACGGCCTCTTCATTAAGTGGAAAGGTTTGGCTAGGCAGATGGAACCGGCTACGACCGTAGTAACAAAAATTCCACCTCCGAACAGTTGTCCCACGACCAAGGAATAACGCTTTTGAAAGGTTCCGGCTAACGACGACGATATATCGGGTGCGCCGTTGCCTAAAGCCAGGAACGTTACCCCCTTTAAGCGTGCGAGTTAAGGAACTGTCGGCCGTTCCGCACACGTAGAATAACGAAGGAATAACTTTAAAGGATACCGCGATGTTTTGGGACAGACGTAAAGTCTTCGTTATCACCAATAATGCCGGACATAAACTGGAAACAGAAAATGTCCTTAATGATAAAAATAATATAATAAACTTATAAAAAAAAGTATTTAACCATAGTTTACAATTGATTAGAGACCACGGCTAATCCAATAAATAGCGTAACTAACCACAGTATCTGGAAATAAAATCCGTAATCAACGGATAAACGAAAATTGTTGTAAATAACGTAGTAATTCGTTACCAGTAAGAAAATGGCCAAAGGGACGGCATTGGTGCCGAAGGGACAATACATAAACCACATGTAGGGCAAGTGATTCTTCATTTGACAATCTACGTTTTTGGATACGAACTCGCATCGTAAACTGGAGTTAAAGTGATGAACGGACTTGCAACTTGTCGAAGAAAGCTACGAAAATTTAAGCTATTTTTACCACCGTTTTATAGAATCGGAGAAAAGACAGAAGGGACTCACCCGGGTGTCTTCCTTACAGACCAAGTTGTCGAGAGGAACCATTCGAAGGATTTATCTCGACGTTAATTTTCCTATAGGCGAGAACCATTCGCTAGATGACGAGCAGAAACCGTAGATAGTTTCGTGCAGATCGTTTGCAAATAGCAATAAAACTGCAGCTGTTACAACATATACACGAATACCGTTTATTGACAATAACTGATATTTTCTTGCGTTTTTATATTCCCCGTCCATTATTATTACCATTATTTTCTTAAGCGAAAGTCGTGGGATTTAAGAACCCTTTTCGTGCGTTTCCTAGCAATTTTAATCCACTCTAATTCGAAAATTAACCCGGAACGAGGTCCAAATTCGCATCCGTAAACTCGGCATACGTCGAAGGATACGTAACGTAGACGTGGGTTCGGATCTCACTCGGATCAATTGATATATTTTAAAATACCTGTTAGAATATTTAATATTCTAATAGTTTATTTACTACTTATTTTATATTAGCTCGTACATAGTCATTAACTGATAATAGTTGATAAGAATATATAATATAAAATACTGTTCTTGTATATTTGTGATAGGCGATATACGACTCCGGTGGTGGCCAGGTTCGACCACTCTGTCGCGTACAGTATCTCCTAAGATATGTTCTAGATTCTAGAATATAATGGTAAATATTGGGGTTATCGGGAGCTTAGTAAAAGCATAGTATTACGTTTTGGTACTATCGCCATTAGGCCGCGATTTGAAAAAAATTGTAGATCCATAAATTCGCACTGTCATTCCTTAATCTCGAATCGGATAGATGAAACCCGAGACCGTAGGGGCGGCAGGCCCCGATTAACTACATACGAACTTCCCATGCAACGCGGTTTGTACCATTCAGTTATTTCGACTCAAAAATTTCTCTCCCAGGCAGTTACGTAGATGACCGGTATTCTGGTCACTGTCTCTGGTCTCTGGTCTGTCGAAAGCCGGTCGCTGATTGGCTAATCATTTGGATTAGCCAATCGGCGACCAGACCAGAGACAGTGACCAGAATATGGCCCCTGGCCTCCCTTCGATGGTCGAGCCGTTGATGCCAGCTAAAACGCGCAAAAATTTAACAAAAATAATATTAAAGTAGCCAAGATATGGCCAAATATTGTAATGCCGCATCACTAGTGGACATTTCAAATTTGCCGACAGAACGGTCGGTTAACCGATGCGACGGTTAATCGATGCTCTACTGTATTTTCAATTTCGCACTGGGGAAACCGTGAAACGTCAAGAAATTCAAAAAGAAAGGTTGGGCTTTCCCGCGTACGCGAATGTTATCTATGTGGGGAGGCGCTTTAAACTTAATAAATCTGGCGCCTTCTGTAGGAAATTTCTGGAATTACGCGAGGAAGCGCGTTTATCGGGGGGAAATGTTTGTAGAAATTTTCAGAGAAATCGGGCTGTCGGTTCGGGAGATATTGCATCGTATCTCGAATCGAATTTCTTCTACTCGTACCAATAAATAAATGCATTCGTTTCGAAAATTAGCCCCGATATAACGTTCTTCGACGTCGTTTTGTAACTCTCGATAGAGTAAACCGATTTAATTCTAACTTTTTTCATTGAGTACACAATACCGGCATTAATTCCAGACATCTTTATTTGATATTTGAACTGTCATTTTAATCTGATATTTATGCATCTTAACTCAATACAGTCGACCCCCCTATAATTACGGTCCCTATAGTTACGATTCCTATAAAACTACAAAAAAATTGCTACCGGTATCCGTAAAAAATAGTAAAAGTTCCCTATAAACACCTCAAACGTCATCGGGAAGCCGAACTACTTTCCCGCCGTCCGTAGCGCCACGCTACGGAGAGATTTCTATCGTTTGGACAGTATTATATAAATTATATATAAATTAGGTACTGTACATATAATTATATATTAATTATATATAAATTAGGTACTGTATATATAATTATATATTAACTTATTGTAACTTTGTTATAATTAAATATATAATTTCCGCCGTCTAGCGTGGCGCCACGCTACGGAGATTTTTACGCTAACTATCGTCTGTCAGTATGTAAATTAGGTACCGTAAGTCTAATACAGTACTGTAATTTTATACATTTCTTGTGAAAGAAACATTTCTTATTCAACGGCGATTAAAATTATTTATATTAATGATGTCTCCGAAGTTCTACGAAGTTTTCACAGAAAAATAAGTTGTTAGAAATCGGCCGCTCTTTGCTGAGCTGTTCCGCGACGAAAACAATGTTGAGCAATGGCAATGTCGAATGGTGACACTCGGTAAGTAATCCTACAATTTTTTGTTTATAGCGTAGTTTATACGGATTATTCCCAAAAAATATATACGTATTTTGGAAATGTTGAGTCGGATTAGTCTAGAATCGATTAATTTTATGGAAGAAAATCTTTCAAACAGCCGTAGTCCGTAAACTTGACACGTGTCGGGTTGTGATTGGAAGGATTCGTAAGAAAGCGGATTCCTAGAGAATGGAACGTATCTCTATCTTATAGGGGGGTCGACTGTATATAACAAGTTAGAAGGGAGTAATAGCTATTTTATACGAGAATTAACTTCTCGATCGATAGCGATATCGAATGTTATGTATTAATTTTAACCAATCTCGGGAAAACGCGTAGGTACTGTACGTTCCGGTATTCAATCGGGAGCGTTCGAGCAACCGCATCCGGCAGTTTTCTGACTTGTAGCAGCCGTCGTCTCGATAAGAGGGAGAATTCGGGCTTTGGCCTCTTCTTCGAAGAACTCGTCGATGTTTATGTTTTATGGCAATGAAATAATTCGACCAATAACGGGTATATAATCGGGCGGTAAACATAAAAGACCGACCAGGGCTCCGCCCGGTTTTTCCCGATATTCGGACGGGAAGTCGGCCAGTCCGACGATTTTCAATTATACCAGCGTATAAAACGTAAGTAACGAGAAAAGCTTAAAAGGATAATATTTTGAATTACGGTTTAAGAAAAATCTCCATTTAAAACACCACGAAAGTATTTTAACTCGGGGCTGTGGCTTAAAGTTAAAATTACCGTCCGTTACGAAACGTTATTAATTAAAAATAACTTTTATATTATTATCATTATTATTAAAAGGAAAAAAAGACTTAATTTTCGGGACACGGAGGAATTTTTAAAAATATCGACGAGTAAAACATTAAAGCGCGGCCCCACCGGAGATACCACCTCCAGTCGCCTACTACAAAATTCGGTAGCATGGATGCCCCGTCAAATTAAACGAAATAGACTCGGCCCCTTTTTGAATTTTTGGGCTTCGAGAGATCTTAAAACGCGGAGGACGAAGTGGACGCGATTCCGACGGGCCGAGAAAGAAATAGAAAATAAACTGGATAATACGGCTAGCGTCCGACAATTATCGTTACGTTTAAAACTATCCGCAAAGCCTCGGTGGTAATTATATTTCAGTCGTTTTAAACGACGGACGGACGCCCGAGCGCGCTTTTGCCGTCATTTTAAATCGACGAGATTATCTGCCAGGAGTTGGCAACGCGGCCGGGAGCTCAAAGCCGACCTGTATTTTTTGGATAACGAGAGTTCGAATCTAATGGGTAAGTGGAAAACGTTTTACCATTTACTTTTTACGGGCGAAATTTTCCTCCCATTCTTCATAATTTTCCGTTTCGTCGGTCGGGAACGCATTTGCGTAAAGAACGAGGCGGAGCGGAAGTTTCCGCTTAGAGGACGGAGTCGAACGTAAGTGGGACTTTAATCTTATTTCGCTCGACGCCATTGTTTCGTTATTACCAATTAAAGCCGGTCCGCGGTTGCGGGTTATTCCGGAGGAAGTCGCCCGGTCACGCTAGACGCTTTCGTAACAGAATTATCGGTCGACGCGCGCTTAGGTGACTAAAATGGCGGATTTTCGGTTAGGTTAGATTAACGAGGGAACCGTCGGAGTGTCTCGTAATAAAATTTAGTTAATAACTACGTTAAAAGTATACAAACTGTATTTTGAATTTGTAGCATTCGCCGAAAGCGTTAATCGGACTTATTAGCCATCGAATGTCGTACTACTTTATAGCGGTTTAAGGTAATTATGCAAATTTTTAGAAGCGAAATGGTGGCGGAGGAAGACGGCGCTATTACATTTAAGAATAAATTCTAGAATTTTCGAAAATCGGAGAATTAAACGCCAATATTCGAAACGTTATAAAACTTGTAAATAAAATAGAAATAGCCAACGAAAAAGATATTGTAGTGAAAGCTGCGCGATTTCAAACGACGGTAAAAAATTTATCGCCATCTTATTGGCGTAACTTCGTATTCAATACGAATCGGTGTGGTTTTTCGTACGAAATGATTTCGCCCAGAACACTTTCGTATAAAGGAGAAAAAAAATACTATTGGATTTGCGCATTCTCCGAGTAATAAAGTTACGCATTCCTACACCGTTCGATATTTAATTAATGCTGAATTTACTGGTTATAGCTGTATATTCGTTTGTGAATGGTTGTCTCTTTAATCCTTTCGGTAGACTATCTTACAGCATCGGGTTAATGAATTCTTTTATTATATTTTTACATACGCATTTCGAACTGGTTTCACATTTCCAGTTCCTCTTCAGTGCTCTATAAATTACAATTATAGAAATTAAGTTGACTAAAAGTTGTTGCTGTGAAACCAGTTGGAAATGCATATGTAAAAATATAATAAAGGAATTCATTAACCCGATGCTGTAAGATAGTCTACCGAAAGGATTAAAGAGACAACCATTCACAAACGTCTCCGTTCCATGCCCCAAACGTAACCGTTACGGCTAGCTGGTCTGGCACATTATCTACAGCAATTATTACAAACTATGTAAAAGATGTATTATCTACGAATATAACAGAAAACTCTATTAATACAGTATTTACATCTACAAATCAAAATTCGTGCGAAATATTAATTATTCCACCAAAGTGTACGTCTATATGACAACCTTTAGACGCTGGATTTCGTAGACAAAACTTTTAGCTAAAGAAATTTTAAACGCTATACAATTATTCGGTAATGGTTCTCGGACGAAATCGTTTCGGACAACGAGAAATGGCATTATAAAATTACATTCGATTCTTCGTCGTCGATTATCTGCGTCCATAT